GGTGATATATTTATGTAAGGCCGTCCTACATGCTCGTCATGTTAGCTATCTTTTTCTGCACATGTGCTCTTTCAGGTGTATATATGTGGTGAGCTTCAGTATGAGACAGTCATTGAAGCTCATCTTTCTCACCGTGGTTCTTTAAAAATGGCCGAGGGTCATAAGAGAAAAGGCATCCATGAAGTGTAAGAGAAGAAAAGAAAGGTCTCAGCTGAGGCAGATATATCCCAGAGTGCTTTGCGTGGAGAGCTCTCCTTACAAAGCATTCTGGGATTTGCTGTCACAGCGATCCGCTGTCACCGTAGACTGTTGCTACTCAACAGCAGCGACTAATAACAGAGATGGTGCAAGCACCGCACAGTGAAGGTTGAGCGACAACGGGGAGCGAAAAGCAGTGATCATCTGTCCAAAACGGTAAGTTAATTGAGTTCACTATAAAGTCCGCCATATATTTACCGCTCTTTACTGTATAGAGATTGAGGGATTTAGGAGTTAGGGCGGATGTGCAGACCCAGTAAGCTTGTATGAGCAATTAGAAGAGCAACTTTTAAACAGAGCGTGCATGAGGAGAAATGGGCTTGTGCATGCTATCGCACTAGTTTAATAGGCGTTCCCTCTCGGGAACAGGTACAGGGTTGTGCATGTGCTTTTTCTTTTAAGTGGAGAGGGCGGGTCTCTTAAAACATTTGCAAAAATGCTCCACAATACCTTTAGCTTGCTAAGATTTTTTTTTTTTTCCTGTGATGTGTATTATGCTATATGTAATAGTCCAGCTTTGAACAAGGGGAAGGTCCTGCTCTGGAGGAACTGAGATGTTACAACTTTCAATTGTTCACATTGAAACACTCACATTTTGCTCAATGAAAGAGTGCTAAAGCTTGTGATCTAGAATAACTTCCTGTTTGTCAAAAGGGCACAGAAGCGGTTGCACTTGCTGCGGAGGATGAGGAGAGCCCACCTGCACCCCACCCATCCTTACCACCTTCTACAGAAGTACCATAGAGAGCGTTCTGACCAGCTGTCTCACTGTGTGGTGTGGAGGCTGCAGCGCCTCAGACTGGAAGAACATGAGAAACTTTTTCTTTCTCCAGACAGCAGAGAGGGTCATTGGGCACCACTCCCCTCCATTAAATATATATCATCGCAGTTACACAGCTCTTAACCTTTCATATCAATGCCCTTTCAACCATGTCTTTAAACTGTTTTTTATTTTCTCATACACTGTTTACATTTTTATCATGTTGGACTTCATAAATGGAAATGTTCATTTTACTGCTAAGCTGCTCATTCCCTATTGAAAAGCCGTATGCATCAAATTTTCATTCATTCATAAAATTTTTCTAAGTCTATTTTGCCACATCCACTGGATGGATGGATGGATGGATGGATGGATGGATGGATGGATGGATGGATGGATGGATGGATGGATGGATGGATGGATGGATGGATGGATGGATGGATGGATGGATGGATGGATGGATGGATGGATGGATGGATGGATGGATGGATGGATGGACGGACGGACACGCTTGCTAAACTGGCGGGAACAGGGTTACTTCGTCTGTCAGACCCATAGACATTATATATGTAGACTCCTCATTGAGTACTGGCCGAGGTGCCTAGAGGGCAGCCATCTTGGATCGGAGACCGATCATCCAACATCAGGTCGGACAGCTGGGGTCAGAATGAATAGGAGACGCCTTAGATCTAATTTTAATCACATGAAAGACGAGTCAGAGATAATATTACAATAATCTCTTACATGTCACAACCACTTAAAAGACGAAAACCTATTCAAAAATTACCTTTAGCTTAGATTACACATTATTATTCAGATTAAAAACTATTTAAACTGAAGTCAAACCAGAGATATATACAAAGTTATATATTTTGCAATTAAATATTAATATGATAAACACAAAGTTTTATATAAATATTATATATTTATATATTATTATTATTATTATTATTATTATTATTATTTATTTTTAAGGATTGCTCTTTAATAATGAGGATTATGATCTATAGAGGAAAATTTGTTGGAATGTGAATTACAAAAGAGTAAAGTTATTATTTTGTTTTTTTTTAAATATAATTTTATATCTATTTTTATTATTTGTTAAATTATTTTCACTTTTTTGTGAAATCGTAGTGAATGTTAAATTTATGTTGTGTCCAACTAAAGGCCTTTTGTCCTTATAAGTTGGACTAAATTTCTTCCAAAAGTCTTTTGTAAACTATAAATTTTTTTTCATCTTGATTTACTCATATGCAAACATTTGTTCCAGCCTAACTCATGGGTTTGTGTTCGTTTCTCTACAGGATAGGGCTACTTTATTGAAATTAATTAGGGGATTTCATTGAAAGAAACTGTAGAACCAGTCCCACTCTCACCAACATAGAACCTATAGTTTATTGATCCATAGATCTAGATCACACAGAAAAAATGCTGGATTCATCCTGCTGCAGCTGAAAGGTTTTTTTTCCAGCTCTTCTTCTTATGTTTTTTATTGGCGGATGGCAGCCTACTTTAGGTGCATTTTTCCACCACCTACCAGACTGGACTGTGGTCATCAATGATGTCAGAAGAAAGTTATCGATACATACCACAGTGGTATGCACAAATCTGCATATTATCTATAAATCAATATCCTTACAAACTTACATATAAATGAGTATGTGTGTATATGCACATGCATGCACACATTTATATTCATACTATAAATACGAATAAATAATCCAGTGTTTTCTAAAAATCTAATTAACTGATTTCTAGCTGAATTTGATTTACTTATTAAAGTTTTATCATTGAAAATCCTATTTTTTCTCTATTTAGTGTTGACATAAAGGGCTGACGATCCTTTGAAAACTTTCTACATTCTACAAATACATTCTAATAATACATGGTCCACTGTTTCCATCTGATTACAATAATTATAATTCCCTGGTTTCCCTATTTTGAAAAGAGAGCTATAAAGTCCTGTATGACCAATTCTAAGGCGAGATATGACTACCTCTTCTTTCCATTTGTACAACTATTATCCGCCACAGTCTTTTGAATTTTATATAGATCTCTACCAGTGATTATCCCAATGTTCCCGCCAAACCTTACAGTTTTTATTCTGAATTATAGATCTACCCTCACTTTTGCTTAAAGGAATACTTAAGTAAATAATAGAGATGTCCGATAATATCGACCGTCCGATATTATCGGCCGATATTAGCTTAATTATGTGGTATCTGTCCATATCTTTATCGGGTTTCCCCACGATAATTAAAAGCCGATAATATAATGCCTAGATTTTGCGAAATATGTTGAAGCGAGCGCTCTTGCCAACATGCGACAGGCCCTGATGACGTAATTAAACCGCTCCAGAAGGCAAACTGTGTAGCAGCAGCTATGCTAAACTGTTTGTAACGAAAAATGTCTGCAGTGTGGACATTTTTTAAAGTTCCAAATGATGACTTGAAGTTTGCGATTTGCAACGAATGAGAGGTCCTTGTCATGTGTGAGGGAACCAAGACTTCGTCCTTCAACAGTTATCCTACACTGGACTTCATTTGTGTTTACATTCAATTCTGTGCAATACAGCTGTACTGGTGAGGTACACTTTTTTCCTATTTGTGAAGAAAAGAGATTTATCTCTTGTTTGAATATTCATTGTCAGGTTAATCTCAGGAAGTTTTTTTGAGACAGTGTTGAAAATAAATGTCAAATTTTGCTTTTTCCTGAAGTTGAAATGCTGTTTTTATCCTTTATAAAAAGGTAATTATTTGTGGAATATACAGTGTGTAGTAGGGCATCACAGTAAATGTAGGGTTTTGCTTAAATTTTTTGATTGGCATGATGTGAAATTAGTTTATATCGGTATCGGCTTATATCGGAATCGAAAATTCACCATTTGGAATATATATCAAATATCGGCAAAAAAAGGCAATATCGAGCATCCCTAGTAAACAATATCTGATTTTAAGGCTTTTTAGCTAGTATATCTAATTCTTCATTTCCTTCAATGCATGAACTGGAATCCAGACAAATCGAACAAAACATTTCCTATTATGAAGCTGAACTAATAAGTGGTATGTATCTAATAATGAATCTAATCTACAAGACTTTCCAGATTTGATACTTAATAATGCAGCTTGACTATCTGATGCAATTAAATAACTATTTCCTTCCCTAACATTATATGTTTCTAGCTCTAAAGAAGCTACATCAAATGAACATAAAAGCCACCTGACGTTGTGCTGACGTCACTCCGGTGTATGAACGTGGCCACGTGTCCCGGACATGTTTAGAAAAATGTCCAACTGGTAAAGCTAGACGTCACAACAGGAAGTAGAGTCAATTAAATTTAGTTTTTTCAATTTTACTGTCAGACAAACTACCCATAGCACAAGGACACAGTTAGCCATGCAGTAGGAAAGTCTAAGGTTCCAATCCCAGCCAGGTGTATTTCTGTATGGTTGCTCCAGCTTCCTCCAATCCTCCACAACATTATTGACTGAATGGGCTGCATGCCCAGTTTGAGCCCTCTGAAACTCAATTACTGCTGAAGGTTTACAGCAACATCTTGGCCAGAAAATACATTAAAAAACAAATTTTTGCCCAGTATAATTTCTTACTTATAGTAAATTAATTTAATCTTTATTAAGACAAACTCATTAAATATAATATTATATTTAATACTTCATTCAAATTCAAATATAGTATTGTCGCTCCGTTATAATTTAACACAGATTTAACGCTTTAAGATTTGTTAAATGAAGAAAAGAATCACGATAAATGTCATGACATAGATAATTAATTAACTGTAACAACAGACGGATCGTGACCTAATCAAAAGTGGTTAAACGCCTGAATCGTTGTTTAACAAAAAGTAAAAGGTAGAACAATGAGATTAACATAACATTTAAACAATTAGGAGACTCTAATGTGTAAAAATAAACATCTTGATAGTTTCCGTTTGACGTCACCTGCTTTTATTTTGACAATCTATGCGGAAGTCATGATTACAATTATCTAGTCTAACTTATTCGTTTCGTCCAACTAACAGATGACTTCGTTTTGATTCAATGGGATTTAAAGAGATTATATTTAATTAAATCAAAGTTTAACTGAAGTTTTTCTGAATCTTTTATTCTGTAGATCTCTTCCGGTTAGCTTAGCCTGTAGTTTCGCTCAGCCTCTTCGGATCGGATCCGTGAAGAAGTGGCTTTTTAAAAGCTCCAACATGGAGGACATGTACGTTAAACCCGGTGAGTTACCTCAACTGAAGCCGAACTGACGGTGAGATCATTACCAGAACCAACCTGCAGGTTTTAAAGCAGAACAGAACTCTGTTAGCCAGCTGCTAACAGTCAGCGAGACAAACCCCGTTCAGAAATCTCTTAATTCAAAGTTCTCTACTCAGTCATAAAATACCCACTGGATTTATTGGGATTCAATCGGGCGCAGAGAAGTGATTTCTCTAAAGTATTAAATTCGGCATAATGGTAACAGATCTAATTTAAACAATTTACTTGATAAATATCAGTAAACTATTGTTTACTGGTTCTGATGGAACCTTGGTGCTGATATTGTTTATTTTATTTTCCCGATTAATTTATAAAGGAATTATTTGAATGCGGTTTGTTCTAAAATAGAGAAATGATAGTTAGTAAGATTGAAATAGTTAATGTATAATATTATAAAAAGAAAATCTCAGGGTGAGGTCTTTGATCCTATTATGAAAAACTTGAATGGTGGTTTATCGTTTTAGCATATTTAAAGTATATCTTTCTGGCGTATACATATGTAATTGCAACACTAAACTATCTTTATTGGTAAGAGAGAGGATATTCCAGCATTTATTCTTATTTATTCTTTAACCCAGAGGTCTTCAACGGTTTCCAGGCCATGGATCCCCAAACTGATGGCGAGATGGAGCGGGGACCCCCTAATTATATATATATACACACACACATATATATATATATATATATATATATATATATATATATATATATATATATATATATATATTGTGTTATATCAAACTGGTCCTATAACCACTCTATTACAGATGTAATGTAACGAAAGTAATTTTGCCCTTGGATTATTAAGTATTTCTGATTCTGATTCCTGGTTGATGGGGCAGGTGTTGTGAATAAAACGGTGCCCAGCTTGAAAGAGCTCCTGTGTGTCGCTGAATGTGTGCATTGATGACTGAAAGACATCTTCTGCCTCCATTTATCTGTTTACTACAGTCTGTTGAATTCATGTTTATTTGGATTTAAAGACATTTAATTAGTGGAAAGAATTTGCCGGGGGGGGGGGGATAAAAAGAAGTCTAATCAACCAAAACTTTCGCGACCCGGATGCAGTACCTCCATGGACCCCCTGTTGAAGACCTCTGCTTTAACCCAAACTGCATTAACCATAAAACTGCACCAAAGGTTAGCAGAAGCAAAGACTGGATCAGATAAACCAGTGACTGAGGCTGATTAAAGAAGAGAGGATTTATGTTTGTGAAACGTTTTTTAGAAAAAGGAAAAAAAAACATGATATTGGCATGATATAAACATCAGCCTCTGTTTCAGTCACCATAGAAACATTCTCCCCAGAGCTAACCTCCTTTCTCTCCTCTCTGTCTGTGGTCACCTACACCTACAGGGATGGAAAGTAAAACAAATTATTTGTTTTTTACAATTCATTCTTTTGTTTTGCAACCTTTAAAGTAAGAAAGATTGGTTAGGTGGACATCATCAGTTATGAGAACAACTTACTGGATGACTTTTGGACCCTCTTTCTGTTCTCTGAGAAAGTTTTCTCAGAGGTTCCACTCTCAGAGCCGTTGGCTTCCACCCAATGGGTTAACGCAGGAGAGCGTCCACACCGTCCACCGAAGGCCTTCACTCTAGCCACCTGGTTCCACCTGGCGAGCGGAGCATCCTTGAAGCTTCCTAGAAGCGTGGTTAGTTGGACCTTCCTGTGAAGGAAGTGAAATATGTGAATGTAAATCCCTTATTGTCTCACAGTGGGGAAATTCACCCTTTGCATTTAAACATTCCCTTGGGGAGCAGTGTGGCACGTGGGGGGAGTGTGGGGTTAAGGGTGCTCAGAGACCCAGAGTGCAGGCTGTGGGGATCGAACTGGGTACTTGCAACCTTCTCAGAACACAAGCGCACTGCTCTAACCACTAGGCCAACCAGCTGGTCTATTCCTTATGCCTGATGCTTCAACTCCTCATCAATCTGGAGCAGAGCAGATCGTTCCCAGCAGGAAGTCTGTTGCTATAAAGCAAAGTGGAGTCTGTGGATTGTTAAAGTTGACACGTGCATGGCTGCTTTCCACTGTGGATCCCATTTTACTCTAAAACCTCCTTTGAATTGCTCTGGTGGAGTAGGGTGCTTGGCAGAATCTGCATCGTTAACATGTCCGGTGGAACCCTGGGGACAGCTTTTTGGTTCTCCACCACATCGGCCCCCATTGAGACGCCATGACAGACATCCCTTTGCAGGTCGTCTGTGGAGCTAAGCGGCAGCAGCAGCGGTACCGGCACTGACCCACTTTCTATGAGAAGAAGCTCTCAGCTCAGGAAGGATGTTCTCCATGTTTAGGTTCATGCCTGCAGGTCCAGTGAGGTTCCTCCTGGGTAGCGGGTGAACAGAAGACATGTCCTGTTGGTTGGGACGTCCCAGTGTCCTCATCCAGCATCGTTACCTGTCATTTAAGAATCTCCAGAATTTTTCCTCAACTCTGACTTTATTTCAATTATTTATGTTTCCAAGGCAACCAGGAGCGGGGCTGGAACGACCCCCCTCAGTTCTCCTATGGGCTGCAGATGGCCCGCGGACCTCCGAGGACTGCTTTGAACAAGAGAGCCGTCCCCGCGCTGAGCTCAGGTAGGCGGTCCGCCTGCTTCAGCCCACTGCCTCTGTTCAGTTATTCGGGAATAGAAAAAATAACTGCATTTGATTCTTCTCCAGGTGCAGAGGCATCGCCCACCGCTCCTTCCCCCTCCAGACCCATGGCCCCGCCCATGTGTGGAATAGCTCCGCCTCCTCTCCCAGGTTTGGCTCCAGGCTGTCTCAGAACTTACTCTCAGGTTTTTTCATAACCAAATAAAGGCTTTAACATATTCTTTCAGCTGGACCGCCCCCTGCTGGCCTGGCTACGCCTCCTATTCACGGGGGACCAATGAGATCACAGAGTGAGGCAGACGGCAGCCAATCAGAGCCGGATATAGAGGTTGTGATGTCGGTGTTGAACCGAGCACTGGATGCCTGTAGACAGAGTGTCAAAGTGAGTTCATACCAGCAGGGCACAGCATCACCAATGACTGGTAGACATGTTGAATAAAAGAGTAAAAGAGAAATAATTAAACTTTTAAGAAATCAGTTACTTTATTTCAAGGAGCTTGTTATTTTATAGAGTGGGAGCCGCTGATTTAAATCATCAGTTTCCAGTCATTTAGAGTTTTATTTGGCCTGATAGAACAGACAACAGTAACCTGTTTAAACCTCCTGGTCCTGACAGGTTCAGGTGTGTAATGAAGTGGCCAAGAGGCTCCGCCTCTTGGAGGACAGTTGGAGGTCAGGGAAACTCAGCCTCCCCGTCACCAGGCGCATGGAAACGCTGAGCCAAGGTAACCAGGTCCCTGTCTGAAAGCCGGAACATCTGTCTGACTGAACATCTGTCTGACTGACGGAACATGGGACGATTAGGGAGTGGGAAATAATCAATTTGGCGATATTCTGATTTTCAGCTGTCCAATATAATATTGAACTTTCAGTTCAAATATAAGTTTGTTAAAAAGAAAAATATATTTATATATCTAAATCAATAAGGGAAAAGGGACTTCCTCTGCACCGCCACCCTGGTAGATAGTTCCTTGGAGCACTTTTACTGTGCACCGCAGCACCATTTCTGTAGTTGAGGTGTTCACGGTAGAAGATGTGGACTTATTCAAATCCCAAACAACATGGATTCTAATGATTATATACAGCTCTTGCTTTATTATCTATACATTTCACTTTGGTAGCTGGGAAAATATTGCAACATATATTTCAAAGTCATTATAATATCGTAATGTGACCCAAGTATCGTTAGATGTATCACATTAAAAACTCACCCCTAGTGAACAACTGTCCATCTGAACATCTCTGTCTGTTTGAACATCTGTCTGACTGAACATCTGTCTGTCTTCCAGCGCTGCAGTCAGGTCGTTGGGACTCAGCCGATGAGCTCCATCGCTCTCTGATGGTTGACCATGTGACTGAGGTCAGCCAATGGATGGTCGGCGTGAAAAGGCTCATTGCTGAAACCAGAAATCTGAGTCCAGAACATCTAAAACCACTTCAGAGCTCAGCAGAACCAGTCCAGGAGTCCACCAGAGGTGTTGAGGACTCTGTAGAACCAGACCAGGACACTGAAGCAGAACAAGGCCCTGAAGAAATGGACCTCCACCCTGTGGAACCAGTCCAGGACCTGGTATCCCAGTCCTGAGTGTCCCAGAGGTTCTTTTGTTGGACTTTAGTTAAACCTGATGAGGATTTCAATGCGATTCTTAAGAAGTTCTATTCCAGACCAGTTCTGGATCATGAAGCTGTTCTGTTTCTCTGAGTGGTTGGGCTACCAGTTCCCCTTTGGTTCTGTTGAGCTGGTTTCGACTCAGGGCTGGTGTTCCTACTGTTGGCATGAAGGGTTTTGGTCCTGTCTGGTCCTCCTTTTAGAACTGGATTCTCCTGACTGAAGACCCAGTCAGAACACCTGGTACCGCGGGCTATAGTTCTGGCTGAAAACACTCCTTTGGTCAGAAACACGATCTCTAGAATCTTTTGAATAAATTCATAATGAACAGAACCTGGTTTCTTTCTTTAACTCAGGAATGGCTCTAGATCCCTTAGACCTGGTCCCATCTCTAAAAGATTAAAACTCCTATTTTAAATCTGTCAGATTTAATCTACTGTCAGATTACTGCGAGATTAAACCTAGTATCAGGTTAAACTCTCAAGATTATGTCTCCTACATTCACATTAAATCTCCTACTCTCAGATTAAACCTCTTATTGTCAGATAAATCCTCCTACTGTCAGATTAAATCTTTCAAAAGTAATCTACTGTCAGACTAAAACTATCAGATTAAACCTCCGACAATCAGAATAAATCTGCTTCTAGATAAAATCTACTGTGAGAATAAACCTAGTATCAGTCGATCCGCTGCTGTTTGCTGAATTATTGGGCCTCATGCAACATTTTTCTATTCTTGTCTTAAATTTCTCGTCCTTTTTCTCCTACCAACGCCCCAAATCAGATTCAGTAAATGTTTTAGCTTCAGTAAATGACAAACGTGATGCGGTCAACCTGTGTTCTGAAATGTAAATCTGCATAGTTACCGCCTGATGATGCCATATAAGGATACGACTTCCCACGCTGTCAGAAGGTGCTCATTCATGGATTTGAAGATGAAGAAGAAAAAAGGATCAGAGATGAAGGTTCTGCTGACTGAGAACAGAGCAGCGGAATTGAAGGACCAGAAAAATCGGCACAGCTGATTTCAATTGAAAGCTGATTAACAGGCTTTTGCTCTACCTCAGTCATTATAATCAGCTGTGCTAAAGCAGGGAAACCTCTAAAACCTGCAGGACAGCGGCCCTCAAGGACCGAGTTTGGGGATGCCTGGATTAAACTCTCTAATCTGATGAATTCAGACCCAAACGTCCACATTAAGTGTAATAACAAAACCATTAGCTGCCGTGGAGGGAAATGAATGAAAGTCTGAACGTTAGAGGAGCTTTGCTGAACTTTTATCCATTTTCTGTTCCAGATGTTATTTCAATAGTAGCTTGATCTCACATAGAATCACTGACTGTTCTTTCTTTGGATAAAGTGACAAGAAGTTAAACCAGAGTCTCCTGGATACCGACATGCCAGCAGCAGGTGATGTGACCCATAGTTCTGTCATCAGCTAATAAAAATGTCATTTATAATTGCAGAGCTGCATAATATATAGTGATGCAGGCTAATAAAATGGAAAAAAAAATTCTAAGTAACAAAAATTGTGGTCATTTAGTGAAAAAATAGGTCTTGATAACAGCTGAGCGATTGATAAAGTTCCCTTGTCAGTCTGAGGCACTTGGAAAAATTAGTTCCTACCTGAGAAAAAATTAGATATAGTAGAAAAATTGAGAATTTTTTTCTCCTAAACCACTTCTACGAACATTTAGGAATGAAATTGTTCTTGGATGAGAACTATTGAATCTGTGATCGACCTCATGGTCTGATGAGAAAAACTCCAGCCCTACATTTAGCCGGATTGCTGATTCCCATCTTGAGGAAGCAGCACTTCTGGAGCCTGGGTTGGTCTTTATGGAATGGATGAGGCCTGGATTCTCTGATCAGGCTAAAAGAAGTCTGACTTCATCTCTAATTCTGGAATTTTCTGAATTCAGCCCTGGTTTGTAAAATTCCAACAACAACAACATAATCCGGACCAAGCAGCTAAGCAGCCTAAGGCAGTTTTTAATCCAACTCCTGTTTCTGCCTCCATTATCCTGAGGCTGCAGACTGGTTGTAGTACTAGCATCAAGCCAGCAGGTGTCAGCAGAGACTTTTGGAGGTTCTGTCTGATTCTTGGACTAACTAGGCTGATCTTTGACAGATGACTTTAAAAAAAAGCCACAGATTTGTTTATAAAATATTTCCTTCATGAAGTGAAAAAATACAGCCTGTATCTGTCTGATAAAGGAATCATACCCTGGTAACTGTTTACTCAGAGCCTGTCTGGCAGCAAGTATGATCTTCAAAAACAGTACATGTTCTGATTTAAACAGCTTCAGATGAAGAATAAAATATCTGTCACCCAACAGTCTGGAAGGGTTGCATAACCTTTTCTGGTTCTTGGGGAAACCAGTTCGGAACCACAGTCAGATCCAATATTCACACTCAAAAAAGGCATGGAACAGTGGAGAATCTTCCTAGGAGAAACCCAGATCAACCACTTGTCCAGGAGGTTCCATCAGAACTCCAGCACCTGGAGGACCTCCTGTCTTCAGTAAAACCAGGAATCTTGAAGAAGAACGTCCAACCAACAGATTAGACTCTCTTTGGATCTACAAGGTGTTGATCCGAAGCATAGAACCAGGTCCAGCTCTGAGTAATCAGAAGAATGTTAGAGTGGCCTAGTTAAAGTCTAGTGGAGGACCGTAAAAGAAGGATGAAGCTTGATAACCTTCCTTTGTATCTGAATTAAAACTCATAATCCAAGCAGAGTGTGTCCAAAGACCACCACAGTGAATACAAAGACATTAAGGGGTTGATTACTTTTAGGTCCATGTATTTTTGGAGAAATCTTCCTCTCTAGTGATTGAGGCAATTTAAACATTTAAATATCGTCCTGGGCTCTTCAGGGTTCCTTTATCTGATGCCAAATTTTTTTGTTATATCTGAGATAAAACCACAAGTTCTGATGGGGGTGAAAACTTTTCACAGCGCTGCAGCTCCAGTCCCTTTGAACGACCCGGCAGACTTCATTTAGACGTCATCCTGGATCGGATGATCCCCTTTCCTGGAACGGACAGTTGGGATGCAGAACCTCTGGCTGCAGAGGCGTCATCTGGACCTAGAGGAAGTCCATTCATCTGGCAGGTTTCTGTTCATCAGCCAGTCCTCCCAGTGCTCCTATACAAGTGCTGTGTTTTCAGAGAAAAGTTTGACTTCAGGCTGAACTTTGCTGACTGGGCCACAATCCTCCTCCTCCTCCTCTTCATCTCTGGAGATCCAGGGAGGAGGAGGAGGAGGAGGGCGTGAAACAGGAAGCCAAGCAGAAAGAAAAATGACAGAAAGACGGAGAGAAAGAAAGGAGTGAATCCCAGCAGAGTGGCTAAAAATAAACCGAAGGAAAGAAGAAAACACTGCAGCCGCACAGAGATCTGGACCAATCCAGAAACTCATCCTTCTCAATGGATTCCGAAGCAGATTATTCACAGCTGGACCACAATCTGATCTACTGCTAATCCAGAACCAGAACCCCTAAAGGAGATTATTCAGAACTGATTCAGAACTGATTTCATGAATACCAGGGGCCACAAACAGTCAGGAACAAAAATATACCAGGGACCACCAACAGTCAGGGGCCAATACGTACCAGGGGCCACAGACATTAAGATGCCAAACTGTATCAGAGGTCACACATAGTCAAGGGCAAAAATGTAACAGAGGCCACAAATAGCCAGTTGCCAAAATGTACCATGGGCAACAAAAAGTCAGGGGGACAAAATGTATCAGGGGCCACAAAAAGTCAGGGGGACAAAATGTACCAGGGGCCACAAAAAGTCAGGGGGCCAAAATGTATCAGGGACCACTAACAATTAGACGCCAAAATGTACCAGGAGCCACAAACAGTCAGGGGAACAAAATGTACCAGAGGCCTTAACAGCCAGGGGAACAAAATGAGCCAGAGACCTCAAACAGTCAGGGGCCTAAGAATACCAGGGGCCTCAAACAGTTATATGTTAGATAAAACTGCTCATTTTAACTCAGCTACATTATCACTTTTTTGCAAGGAGCTCTGAGGACCGGGCCTTTACTGCAATAGTACAACTTGTTGAAGTGTTTTCAATGATCTACAACAGAGGTCTTCAACATTTTCCAGGCCAAGGACCCCCAAAATGATGGCTAGATGGAGCGTGGACCCCCTATTTATATATACTGTAGGAAATTTTGTTATATCAAACTGGTCCTATTGTAACTCTATTACAATAGGACCAGAAGTAATGTAATGAAAGTAAAGTCCAGGGATTATTAAAGTATTTCTGATTCTGATTCCTGGTTGATGGGACAGGTGTTGTGAATGAAACGGTGCCCAGCTTGAAAGAGCTCTTGTGTGTCGCTCATGGGCGTAGGTTTGCATAGGGACCATAGGGACATGTCCCTACCAAAGTTTTGAACCGACCTAATTGTCCCTACCAATAATTGGATGTGAGGAACATGTTTATAATTTACAGCAGTAGTTATTGCAGCAGTGGCTTCTGTTCCTCTCGCAGCTCCTCTGCCTGGTCTCTCCTGTCCCTTTCATGCAGCAGCGCATGGAGCTGTGCTGCGCTGTTTAACGCCCCTCTCATTGGTTGTTCTGCCTTAAGTTCCGCCTTCTCTCTCTCTGATTGGCTGTTTTCTAGTCCGCGTGTGCTTGGAGCACAACATTGAAAATGTATTCACACTAGAATGCCGCGGTTACTACAATTAATATTAGGCTACAAAACTAGTCCCAAAAAAAAAAAAAAAAAAAAAAAAAAATGAATATCATGTACACTAAAAAACAAAAATCTTTTTTTTTCTTTTATAAAACGAAATATTCTGAGTCAGCCAGGAGTTCTGAAGACTGCTGGAAAAATGGGCAAATTAAGGCTGTAAGCCATGGCAGGATAATTCTCCCATACACAGCCAACTAAAAAAGAAAATGTGAGGGTTTCCATTTTACCGATATTAAGTTGATATTACTGTTTTCATTTTTTTGTTTTTATTTTTACAATTTTGATATAATAACTGATCTAAGTGGGTTGCTCTGTGGGGAAAGGCACATTTTACATTTATATTACTGTATGTTTTAAAGTCTCTATACTCCAGTTAATGATGAATCACTTACTAAATTAGTTGACGATTATTGAAATAATCAATTAATATGATTCATTTTTTTCAGCCCCAGATAAAATACATGAAATGGGCTACACAGAGTAACTACAGTCCAGATGTTCAACTTTTATAGTGAAGTTAATATTTTAATGAATGTATTATTTTGCTTGATACAGAGAGAGAATAGTAGGTACAAATATTAGAGTGGGGTTTAACTCTGCACAATTCTATATCTTCAAAAGAAAATACTGTATTTACCTTCTCTCTTAGGCGTTCAAATGAAACCGTTTTCAAAGTGGAAAACAGTCCTAATTCCACATTCATCAGAGCCGGTGATACTTCAAACATTGATAAACAGCATCTAATGAGTCTAGAGCTTATAACATTTTTATTAATGGAGCAAAATGTTGCTTTTCTCTTTTAACAATGAATTCCTCTTATAAGTACAGATACTCACATCAAGCATAAAAAAGGGCATGCATATTGCATAGCACCGATTACACCAGACCAATAGTGTCCCCACCAAAGTTCAAATCAAACCTACGCCCTTGGTGTCGCTGAATGTGTGCATTGATGACTGAAAGACATCTTCTGCCTCCATTTATCTGTTTACTACAGTGCGTTAAAGTCATGTGAATGTTTATTTAAAGACATTTTAATTAGTGGAAAAATTGCAGGGGGAATATAAAGAAACAATTCTAATCAACCAAAACTTTTGCGACCCCCCAAGCAGTACCTCTGTGGACCCCATAGGGGTCGCGGACCCCCTGTTGAAGATCTACGATCTACAATAAAATTTTTCTTCCATTTAGGATTATTAAAGTACTTTTGAAATGACAGTACAGACTGTAGTACCAGCTTTAGTACCAGTACTTGTACCAGTGCTTGTGTACTCAAAGAAGTACTGACCAAATCAACTGTTGTATGAGTTGTGGTACCAGAATGGTGACTGTGGTACTTAGTAGGACCAAAACTGTGTTCAACATTGCTGATGGTATAGATAGCAGTATCAGCAGTGGTAGAGTGCTGCTGGCTGTAGTAAGTCTGTAGTATCAGTTTTAGTGTGTGTAGTACCATGTTTTAAACTGTAGTACTGGCATTCTGTGGTCTTCTTTCTGATTGGTTCACTGCTGTCAGATCAGGATGCAGTTTCCATGGTGACGCTGTGTGTGTCTCTCCCAGCCTGTGATTGGCTGATGATGGAGTGGGCCAGCGGGCCAAGCCTCTGAAAGCTTCGGCGTCTCACTTTCTGTTGCATTTCAGCTCAGAGAGACGAAGAGACGCTCCTCTTCCTCACTGCTCTCTCCCTCCATCTTCCTCCTACTCCTCCTCCTCCTATTCCACTTTGCTGGCTCTCCTCTTCCTCCTCCTCCTCAGACAGACGGACTGGTCCAACTCCTCACCTTCATCGCTTCAACCATCATCATCTTCAGAGGAAGAAGACAGGGAGCCCCCTGACCCTCGCCATGGCAACGGTCATCAGCACGCGGTTCTCTGATGAGTACCAGCTTTACGAGGAGCTGGGGAAGTAAGTACCACCATCAGCATCCTCCTCATCATCACTGACATCAAACTTTTTTACTGCAATTTTTTTTCATTTTAATTATTTAATTATTTTAATTATTATTTATAGAAAAGCTAAACGTTCAAAAATGTTTTTAATTAAGTGACGTGATTTTTATTCTCCTAAAACTGAAAGATAGTAATAATTTACATGATCATGGTATTAGTAAAAACCTTTACTTTTGATTGAAACAAATAGTTGTTTATCTTTAATAAATAATAAACAGACAGCCTGATGGGCAACATTAGATCAATAAAAGCATTAGCAGCAAGTGTACCTGCTGTGAGTAAAAGAAGGATTATCATAGATTAACATCAATTAGATCAGGTATGATGATCCACTAAAGATCATTAAAGTTTCTATCAGCTATAGATCATAATCCATTAGATGATTTGTAGATCAGCTATAGATTACTGATTAGCTGCAGGATAAACACATCCCTGGATGGATGGAGGGAAGAGTGAAGCACCTTTCTGACCCCGTCCCACTCACCACCACCCACACACACTCACACACACACACAGTAACACACACTTAATGCCAGGTCTGTTACATAATGTGATGTGGGTGGCAGAATGCAGCTTTCAGAAGAAACAGAACGCTTTCTGCTCAAACTCTGCTGCACTTCCTCAAGAAAAACCACCGACACTCAGTGTCTTCAGTCAGACTTCATCAGTCATTTACTGACCGATTTCGTTCACTGATCCAGAACAGATGCAGGAAAAAAACAGTTTGATGTTCATGTAGATGATCATGATGTGATCCACAGACACTCTCGCTCATTCACCTCAGCTCATCCTTATGAATTATAAAATGAAGGTAGCTAAGATGAGATCTGGACTGTCTAATCGGTGGTTTTTCAGACTCTGTCCTCAGGACCCACCATCCTCCATGTTTAGGTGTTTCCCTGCCTCCACACACCTGACCTACATCAGTGGGTGATTAGCAGGCCCTGGTGGCTGCTGAGTAGGAGGAGAACAATCATTAGATGAAGGTGTGCTGCAGCAGAGACACATTTGGAACATCCAGGACATTAGGTCCTAAGAACTTAGAGGGAAACCACTAGTCTAGACTTTCCCCAGGAGGAAAACAACTCAGTCAGCCTCCAACCTTCCAGGTGTGAACATCCCAGAAGATTTATCCAGCTTCATCCTGACTCTAAAGGCCTCGTGTAACAGGTTAAGAGCTGAAAGTCATGGCCTTGTGCCAGTCTGTTAGGAGGGGTTCAAAGAGAAAACCTCTTCTCTCTAGACCCGAGATGGCAGCAGGGGTTAGGTTCGAGACATCTTGGATGATGTCTTCTGGACGACTGAGGCCAGTGGGGATGTTTTACCATAAAGTAGAGAGTCATGGTTGGAGGAAACCAAATCCGCACAGACACCTGCGGAGTAAAAAATTTTGAGATTTGTCTGTTTTTAGCCTCACAGGCTCCAAACGAAGGTGATGAGAGATAAGAATGAGTTCACACAGCCTCCTTCATGGCATGACGGGGAGGACTGTTGTTTTGAGAAGATCCATCTGACCAGTGAAAGATATCTGAATCTATCAGGGAATGGTGTTGATGAACTCAAGTTGTTTTTCCTCCAAATGTTCGTGCGTGTGAAAGTTCTTTATGTAGGGGTGGGATAGTTCCAAGGGAGAGTGTGTGTATTGGGAGTTGCTGTATAAATGTATGTACTGAGCTTGCCTCACTCAGAGCTCTATCTCTCTGTCTGAGGACGTTAAATAAATCTGAACATTCTCTTACAAGAGTCTCAGCTTCCTCCTCACACACCTCAGAACAGTTCTGAAGCACGGTGGTGGAGGAATGACTGAGGACACCTTCTACTCTGCTAGGGTAATGAGTCAGTCTCTGCAGGCCTGCTCTGGTTTCAGGACTGGATGTCCTGGAAGTAATGCTGTGGTAACAGAAATGTCATTAAGTCATTAAGTAAGCAGTCTGCTTTGTTTAAGCAGCCTGGTGTATGTGAGGAGCACCATTTTTTGAGCACATCATGAGGTGATACATCGGTAGCAGAGACAGATCTTTTGGATCAAGGAATCCGGTTCAGATCATCCTGTGGGATGTAAAGCCGGATTAGCTTTGGACGCTATCTGTCCAACTACAGACCAGAGGTCTCCTTTCTGAAGGCTGCATTCCCACTAAATGGGGCCTTTAACTTTTTAAGAAAATTGCCCATGTATACGCTCATTTTGGAGGCGGGGGACAACTGGTGACAGATGGTGAGAAAGAGAAGTGAGGCTGCATTACATGATTGGTCTCAGAACTCCGTATCAAACTTTAATACTAACTTCATTGAAAACCCCAGATTGATGTATGTTTACACTTGTAAGCCAAAACTAGACCTGAGGACAGATTCCTCTCACCGAAGTTGAGCAGTTTAAACTTCCCACAGGTCAACAAACTAAGGTGTCAAGGTGTAAGGCGTTCTCAATGATTGGCTGTGACACCCTGAGTGATGCTGTAGGGTAGATGCCTTGGCTATACTGGAGGATGATGGAAATTGGAGGTTTAGGAAGGATTCACCAAGGTTCCCTGGCCCCTGATGATGACAGGCTTTATGAACCAATCAGACTCCATAGAACATGGCTGTGGATCTGCTCTGCTGAACGCCTCATCCCTGTTCATCACTGGTTTTGAATGAGAGAATGAATGAGTGAATGGCTTTAATTCAGACAATCAAGTAAATAAAAATGTAACACATGAGAACATTATGGACAATTAATGGTATATATAATTTTGTAATATGTATAATTTAGTGTTTATGTCTGAAAAGGGGAGTAAAGGAGTCAATCTTTATTAATTAGATCCTTTCAGCTTCCAACAGTCTATTACATCAACATTCATCCTAGTTCCTATTTACCTTACTAGTCCAAAAGTTTATCAAGTGAGCAAATAATTAGTTTATCCGCATAAATTAAATATATCACAGCCAATTCTGAGCTCCATACACTCTCTCTCTCTCTCTCTCTCTCTCTCTCTCTCTCTCTCTCTCTCTCTCTCTCTCTCTCTCTCTCTCTCTCTCTCTCTCTCTCTATATATATATATATATATATATATATATATATATATATATATATATATATATATATATATATATATATATATAAATTAATATAATGGTTATTATGATTATAGAATGGTCCTCTGGGAACCGTTAACCTTTCATGCCACATTTGGTTGTCATATTTCCTGTTCTGTTTGATCTTTTTCTTACTGCTCTATCTTTCTGATCGCTGAAAGTGCAAAGGTCTGTGTGAATTCAGGAAACTCTTATTGTGACAGTCTGGTCTGCGGTGCTAATTGGTTCCGCCTGCTCTCTTCCAGGGGAGCGTTTTCAGTGGTGCGTCGCTGTGTGAAGGTTCTGTCGGGTCAGGAGTACGCCGCCAAGATCATCAACACCAAGAAACTGTCTGCTCGAGGTGAGAGGCTGAGAACACGTGCCTGACATGATGGAGTCTCTCAGTTTAACACACAGTCCTCACACCTGCTGCTGAGCCACAACCTGTTGCTCCAGAACCAGCTGAACCTTTAGGAACTGGAACACCATTGGCTGACATGACTTATCCATGAGATAAGAAACGAACACAGTTAGTCAGAAGGAGCAGCTGCTCCTTCACCAACAGTGACCTAGGAGAACTTTCTACCTTGAAGAAAAAGTTGGAGGGAGAAGAGGATTCATGTAGGAGAGACATGGCAATTAGACCAATTAATGACCAGGTAGAACAATTAGAGACTTTAGACCATTCAGACCAGTCAGACCATTTAGACCTGCTGGGTAATTTAGAACAATTAGACAGTTGGACCAGTCAGTTGGACCAGTTAGACAAACTAGAGCACTTAAAACAACCAAACTACTTAAGCTAGTTAGACCAGTTAAATCAAAGGGATCTGAACTAGAACTTAAACTGTATCAACCAGCAGATAATCTTCAGGCCTTCACAGGGCTGACCCAAAAGGCCTGGTTCACTCGGACCTCTCTGCCGTCTAGGTTGAAGGGTCGGATTTATCTCCGTCCATTAGGTATTCCATCTAAACTGCCTCTGTGGCATGATGAGACGTCTTACCCACATGGTTCTCTTTGGTATTCTGGGTTCTAGATGGCTTAAACCGGGGTTTTAATGGAAATAGAGATCCAAAGGTTCTGAAGGTGTGAAATTGTTGCACATATGAGAAACCTAAAATAACTGAGCCTAGCAGAATTTTACCTGAACCAGATGTGGCAGACAAAGATCTGTCCCAGAGTCCATCAAGGTAGTTCCATTCTGGTGGACTTGATTGTTTCTGGGTTTTTCTCACAAGATGGTTTTAATTCATTTGGTTCAAAAAATCACTGCAACTGGGCCATACCACAACCGCGCTTGATCAACCAATTAATATCCTCCAACCAGTGAGCTGAGGGGAAATTAGCCAATCAGGGCGCTCCTAGTAAAGCAATTAAAATGAGAACATAGTCTAAATGGGCTGGCCCACTGATGAGTGGCCAGGGGTGGCCATAGCCACTCTTACCCAATCATTGGCCACCCCTGTGGCCACCCCTACCATTTTTCCCCCTCTAATAGCGGTGGCAGCAGTAAAACTCTCAAGTGAAATATTCATTTTAATTTTTCATATATTACTTACTGTTTTTTCATGTGTTCATAATTTCTTGACAACGAAAACACAGTGCTTAATTATTCACATCAATATACTAACATTAAAGAAGATAAGTAGAGAATTCATGCTCTTTTCAGAACTAGTTTTTGTGTTAAATAATGTGTCTCTGCAAGTCATCTAGGAGTCTTCAGTGAAATCATAGATAAATAACAATTTTGATAAAAACGTATTGAATAATCAATTTATGTAGATATTTGTAGTTGTAAATATCAATTTTATGCAGAATGATTATCGATAAAAGTAGGTAAGTAATGATAGTGGAAAAGATGCCCCAGAACTCAAACATGAAAGTATTGTATCCACTATACCTATTATCTAGAAAGCATGGATGTTTAAATATGTGCATTTATTTGTTAGCAAAGGCAGTAGGAAAGTATAGTTAGTCTTATCTTTGGCTTGAACGTGAGGTTCTGGCGCCTATCCACCTTCGGCCACCCCTCAGTGATCATTGGTATTGTCTGGCCACCCTTTTTTCTGGCTACGCCTCTGCCTCTGTCTCCAGAACCATACGCCAGTAAAGACACTAGGGATTATTTCCAGGAAGGTGGTTCTGAATGAGATCGTCCGTCCTGGGCGCATAGGATGATTGGACCAGGACCAGTCGGGTTCAGAGTTATTTGGTGGCCTTTAGCCTCGACTGAGGGAAAGATCTAGAGAAGGGGAGGTTCCTCAGTAGGTAGAGGTAAAAACAACGACCTTAGGCTGAGTCCGGCAAATGGAGCAAATAACTTTGGGTCATTGCAAAGGAACAGAGTGACGTTTGTTCTGGAAATGATCATGAAAAGTTCTGAGAAAGGATTAACTGGAAAAGAGTGTGAGATGTTTCCAGTTAAACCACTGGGATCCTCTGGACAAGTAAAAACCAGTAGAACCAGTCAGAACCTAGAAGCCCCCCCACCCCCCACTCAGCGAACAGAGCAGCTGTGAATTCTTCTTCTCTGGGAATATTTTCATATCTCTATTCTGGTTTTGAGATTTCCTCCGGTTGCTTAGCAACAGGCTGCAAAGTTAACAGAAAATTGTGCGTGTGTGTTGGTATGTGTGTTTTGTTACATAAGGAACCTGCAGCTGTTGAACACATCTGAACCATCAAACAGCTGCACCTGACAGAAACTCTCAGACTGGATCCATTATTCTGGATCAATCCAGCTGGGGAACATGGAGAACATGGAGAACCTGGAGAATGTCCATCAGCAGCTGAAACAAACCCTAAACTTCACCATCTGTCCTCCAGTTAAAACCTGGGCAGAACAGCCCAGGTCTGACCAATCAGAGCTTCTCCTCCCTGAGCCCATTAGGCTTCCACTGATGTTTTCTTGCAGACCCTCCTCCCTGAAGCTCCTGCAGAAACAGTCAGCTGTGGAACCAGTAAACTCAGCGGCTCTGTAATAACTGGTAATAACTCAGCCTCATGAAGTTAACGTGTCCAGCAGCCAGAGCGCCTCCTCCACATTTCTGCTCCTAACGAGCTCCAGTTACACAACTGATCATCATGAGCAGCTTATTATTCCCTCTGCATCCTCATTTTATTGCGGCTGCTGAGAGGAGCGGCGCTGCTTCCTGCTCATCACTCTGACGATGATCAGAGAGTTGCATCAGATCACATCAATCTGAACCTGATTCTGCTCTGCAGGGATTCTGGTCAGAGTCTGTTAATTTAGGACAGATGAATCCTCTGGATCTGATCAGAAGGAGCCACTTTAGAGGCGTTTGTATTCTATCCGATGACCTGCAGGGAGCGCCTGCCTGGAAAACATCCTGAGGACCAAAGGACAGAAATTCAAGCTCAACCCAAATTCATCAGAACAACTTTCCAGAGGGAGGAATATGTTCCCAGTTTCTATGAACAGAAACAGCAGCACAAAAACACTTTTTTCACAGCTGGATGCACACATTCAGTCTATCAGCAGCAGCAGGCCGCTCTGACCAATAATCTCTGTTTGTTTTCAGATCACCAGAAGTTGGATCGAGAAGCTCGAATCTGTCGTTTACTGAAACACCCCAACATCGGTAAGTGGTGCCCGAGCTGCTGCTAGAGGAGGAAGTGACGTCATGGTGGACATGCTGCTGATAAGATGATTAAATAATCTTAGAACAAAGAACCTTACTTTTAAATCTCTCACCACCGTCTGATGATGGTGCTCTACACCTCCAAACTAGGACCCTGTGAGACCTTTCACATTTCAAATTGATGTTATAGAAGATACCTACAGTGATCTTCATCAGTGTCAGGTGTAGATTCCAGAATGCCCTCTCATAACAAATGTCAGATGAACGTTACGTCCAATCCTCTGTGATTGAACATCTATGCTGTGATCATTGTCTATTTACGTAGCAACAAAATCCACTTCCTCTATCAGCCAACCCTGCTGCACTCTGTTAAAGTTAAGCCTTTCAAACTAAAAGCTACAGATATGAATAAGCCTTTTAATGTTCGGCTCAGCTATGATCATTGAAAAATATCTAATAGCTTAACGGAAACATAATAAGAGAGGATGTAAAGCATGCAGAGGACAACCTGGGGATCGACTCAAACGTTAAAACTTTAACACCATGCTTCCTGTTTGACATCTTCAAAAAATCTACTTAAAATCAGCAAACATGTCATAATTGAAGATGGTCCAGCAGTCTGGTTCCAAATGGGTCTAGTTTCATCTGTCTACAGGTCCTATGTTCATGAGTTCTAGTAATTATTACAGACAGAAACATGAGAACTTCCAGCCGTCATACAGACCAGGAAGGAGCTGGCTGTCCCAGAGATGGACGTGTTCTGGTCTGTAATTAACCCCAGAATGAGTCATTATCTGAAAGACCACTAAGAGAGGATAAGGCCAGGTCTTCCAAAACAGCAAAAAGCCAGTTTTCAGTTTTGAAACAAGACTCAGAGACAAAGACCTTGGTCTGTGTTCTGAAGACCATACCATGCTGACCAACTTCATATTTGGTTAAAAGAAAATAAAGAAGCTGAGAGTCTGAGGACACTATTCAGCTGTGAAGTATGAGGTGGATGTATTATGCTGTGGGGTGGTCTTACTGCTCAACTTGGTTGAAATTGAGGTCTTCTGATGGACATTGCCCCTCAGCATTTTTGCAGATTAGTTACAAAGCATCCATATGGAGGAGTGTTTGTCGCAAAGCTGGTTGTTTAACTTTAGTCTGAGGACGTGACCTCAGCTGCTACTGGGTCATAGCAGGGCGGGATCCTCCCAGTCAGAGTCCTGACCGTAGTCCATATTGCTCTGCAGCAGTTTGTATGTTATGACCTAGGACTTACTGTGTTCTTATCCGGCGGGTGCATCCTCTGAAGGCCAGATTCGTCGGCTGATTACATCATACTATGGGGGCGTGGTCTGTTCGGATTCAAACACTCCTTCAGACTCTTTCCTTCAGTGCAGTGGATAAATGCAGCCTTCTGTTCACTCATTTTAAAGGACGGGTCTGGTGTATCCTCCATAGACTTGGGTATCCCTTGATTCATTGCAAGTCCAAACAAGCCGGCTGCTCCATGCTCAGAGGAAAAAGGGAAATGGCGCCAAACAGTTGTAAATATAGTAAGTGCAGTTGAGTATAATGCAAGTATGTGAATAGATCTGTCTGAAATTAATGAAAATAGTTTAGTTATTGAATCAGATATGTGTGGTGACAATGTTTGGTTTACTGAAAGGTTTTTAACTGTCCCTGTGCAAAGGGGTTTGGCTGACATTTAAGCACAGATTACTTTATATCTGCAAAGTGGGAACTACAAAACTGTGATATCTGTGAAAACGGTACTGCTGCTGAAGCTCCTCGACAAGGAAATTAGCACACAGAACAGGGTCAATTGGAACAGAAGCGTACTTGGGACGTCACCATATGCCAAGCTCGTCTAGAGCTGCAATTCATCTCCTGTTATTAATAGTCTCTAGATAATAATAAATTATAACTTTTTTAATTTAGTGGGGGAATAATAATTAACACAGTCAGATAAACAGAAATCAAATTAACATTTTGCCATATAAAACAAAAAACTCGCCATCAGAGCAATGTCGAGAGAGGCTGCTGCAGACGAGCTAGGATTAGACCTGGCTGCCGTTACCCTCGGAGGTCCGCTGGCCGCGGCCCTCTCAACTTCGGAAATGTATTTTTAAAATGACGCATTAAATCGCTAAATGGTAAAGTATAATATTCTCGCCTCAAATGGTCTTATAACGTAGTTTAATTGAACAAAAGCAACAGAAAAGACAACTTTAACTTAATACTCTGAGCTCTGTAAGCGCTCCATTGAAAGTTGATGCTGCTGCAGGACATGCTGGGAAAGCTCTCAAGCTCAAGAATGGACAAGTCTGCTCTGATGCATGCTGGGTAAATAGGGAGGGTATAGAACAACATCTGGGTACTTTGTCTGTTCTCGTTTTGCTGTTCTTGTGAATTGGAACAGCACTAGGGCTGAGGCTGATGACGTTTCACGAGTACACGAGCACATGAGAACGCACTAGTACACAAATTGAGAATGGGCCTTATTTTCACGGCCTTGGAAGGACCCAGTACAGGTAGACTGGGTCCTCGGAGGACGCAGCCACTTGATTGGAATACAGCCTGAATTTTTAGAGGATCAATAAGGATGACTGATTGATTAATTTGCAAAATACTTTCTGTTCTTGAACTTTGTTTTTCCATCCATCAATCTTCCCCAACTAATCCAACAGGGTCACTTTGGGGCTGGTTTCCAGCAGTCAATGGGCCACAGGACAGGTCACCAGGTCACCAGTCCATCACAGCACAACACAGAGACACACAACCACACACACACACACGCTCAACCAAAAACATCTAGAGACGCCAGTCAACCTAACAGACATGTTTTTGGACTGTTGGCAGAAATGGGTGTACCCAGAGAGAACCCATTCATGCAGGGAGATAACATGCAAACTCCATGGCAGAAAGATCCTGGCCTGAAACCAAACCCGGGACTGTCTCCCTGCAAGGCAGCAGTGCTACAAACTGCCCCCCTGCACTTTGTTTTTAACCAGTTTAAAGCTTTTCTCACAAAACTGGAGTCAAATTGCAGATTTATAAAGTGTTGCTCCAGCTGTCTGGAATGTGTTGCAGGTTGAATTGCCATTAACTGGTGGGATGAAAGCTGGTGTCAGATACCTTCAGACAACCAGCAGGGCAGGTTCAGCCGGTTAGAAGTTAAAACTGTTTAACGTTTCCTCCTCTGGGGTCCTACCTCTAATGATGCTGATGATGATTAAAGTGGTGGATCGTGATTATGGTAATAGTGAAGATGCTAATAGTGTTGTCAGCCCTCTGGTCCTGGTGTTGCTAACGGTAACCAGAATGTGGTAGTTAACACAGCATATAACTGAGGAGATGTCGCCATGGAGATGTCAGAGGAACAGGAGAGTTTCCCTCCTCCATTTACTGCCTACAAGCCTTGTGCTCCTGTTAGAGTATAAAGCCTCCATTCGTCCCGACTCAGTAATTAACTTTAACAAATGGAGAAGCTGAATGAGAAACATGGTGTCAACAGAGCATCAGCTGAACTAAGGTCCTGGCCTGAAACCAAATCAAGAGTTTCTGTATCAACACTGTTTCTGCAACAGGTGGGGGCCCAGGCATTATCTAGATGCTTCTAGAGACTGAGGTTTGTCTCCAACACTTCCACCTTATGAAGGAATCAGGCTGCTATATGAGGGAGATACGTCTGAGTGGCACAGACATAGAAAGAAAAAGCTTTCTGTTCAGAGAATCATAATCATGTAGAGATGGATCCCTTATAGCAGCGAGTTCAGTCAAAGCTCTGATTACATCTGAGACCGGAGTCTCACAGCAAATTGCAAATTGATGCTTCCTGTTTAGTAACAGTTTAGGAGAAATGTCTAATGACGGAGAAGCGGCTGAGAAGCCGAGCATCATCATGTCCTGGTCGGTGATGGTGATCTCCTCCAGCAAAGCCAAGGCTGCAATCACCCCCCAAGCAACATCTAGAGATGTTTGATGGTCTTCAGTTGGACATCATAAAGGCGATCACAGCCAGTTAGGAATGAATCAGCTGATCTAACTCTTAAGATGGGCGTACACTGTGCGATTTTTTTCAATTGTTGCATGCAGCTACATCTCACACTGCGCTTTCGTCGTACAGTGTGACTTCAATGCTCACTATTATATTCTCAAAATGTGCGACCCGATGCTTTGTTGCGATCTACCTGCTCACACTGTACGTCTACAAAACAACGTCAGACTAAGCTCCTTAGTGAGATGGCGCTACTCAGACTCGTCTATCCGGAAGCCAAACAAGTAGAAGAGGAATATGAAGCTCACTAGAGTGAAACACGCTGTCTTGGCAATTTGTGCAATTTTGTGCTGAAAGCCCTAAAAAGAAAAGTTGGCGACATATTTGTACAAAGAAACGGCTGAGCAAACATGGCTACTGCAGTCTGTCAATTTTACAGAAAGAACTCCATTTCACTCGCATCCCTGCCATTTTGTGTTTTCGTCGAGACAAAGAAGAAGAAGAATCCTTGTTTGCCCACTGAGCAATTTGCCCACAACAGCCGACTGAATTTCAAACATGTTTGATTTTCTGCCAACCTCACGATTCCTGATTTGGAGGTGGTCGTGAAAGGCTGAAGGCCCCTTGTTACCCCCTGTGCATTACATGATGCACGATCAGGCTGAAATTCTCGCACGGCTGAAAAGTCAGCCCGAAAAGGGCAAAATAAATCGTACAGTGTAGGCCCGGCTTTAGAGGACAAAAGGACCTTGCTGAGTTTCCATGCCTGTTGTGCTCCTTAGTGTGCAGACTGATGACTGTTTACATCTAATTGTGTCAAAAAGCAGGATGTTAGCTGTTTGCATCTGTCCGAGGTTGTGTCTAATTTTAATTGGGTTAAAACCATAACTTCAGTTTTGATGCTCGTTGAGTTAAAATCAGATGAATTGGGGTCAAATTTTGAAGTATTTAAGTTAGTTTGATTCATCTATAGTTTATTACTGTTAACGTTAAAAAGAGGCAGTGAATACAGACT